GACCTGTCAAGCAAAGCAAGGCAAAGCAAGCTCATGGTGGATCACAACGTCACCACACATTCTGAGCACAAGTCAAGGCCACAAGGCCAGTTCACATGCATGATTACATATATATAACGCTAAACAAGCAAGAGCATATATATATATATATGTAACAGTACATGCAAGGTCAAGAAGTGAGCAAGTGAGGCAAGGTAGGCACAAGACCTAACAGAGTACAGAAGCGCTGATGATCACAAGGCGCGAGTGCTTTGGTGAAGATATCAGCAGTGTTGGCCTCAGAGGCCACGTAAGCAAGGCGCTGCTTCAGCTCACGAGCAAGAAAGTCGCGAAGAGAAATGTGCTTCGTTCTCTGCTCCAGTCTGTGCTCCCGACACAAGGCCAGCATGGCCTTGTTGTCTACGTACAGAACTGGAGGAGAACGAGGCGGCTCTCCCAGGTCAGTCAGCATGTAGGTGAGCCAGCGTAGCTCTTGTGCAGCCATGGCCCTTGCTTAGATCTCAGCCTCACAACTGGAGCCGAGAACAGCAGATGAGCGGGTAGACCGCCACGAAACAGAGCCGGAACCAAGGCTGAAGGTGTAAACCTGTGACGACCGCTGTGTAGCATGGTTGTCATCCCAAGAAGCGTCTACGTGACCAGTGAGGACCACTGGACTCCGCCCTCCAAGCACTAGCCCCATGCCTGACGTACTGCACAAGTAGCGCAACACCCTCTTCGCTGCAGCCATGTGCTCTGGTCTGTGTCTCCCAGGAGCAACATAGCATGCCAGAATGCTAAGAGGGTATGCAAGGTCAGGTCGAGTGCAGGTCATCAGGTACATGAGGCAGCCCACAAGCTCTGGGTACGGGCCACTCGACTCTACGGACTCATCCGAAGGCAGAGCTGAGAGCGAGTGGCAAGTAGACAGAGGAGTGGCCTGAGGCGAGGAGTACGTGAAGTCGAAGCGCTGAAGGACCTGCTGCACCATGCGTGACTGAGTCAGGGTAATGGTGTGGCGTGCTCTGTCCCGGGTGATCTACAAGCCAAGGTAGCTGCGCAGTTCACCTAGGTCTGTGCACGTGTGTCTCTTCTGCAGCTCAGACTTCACGTAGGCGAGTCCAACAATGTCAACTGTGGCAAAGACCAAGTCGTCGACGTACACGAGGATGTAGAACGGCGGCAAAGAGGTGTCGGTGCGCAGAAACAGCGACGGGTCGGCAGTAGAAGGAGCAAACCCAAGAGCCGCAAGTGTAGTCCTTAGTGTGTTGTGCCACTCACGAGGTGCCTGGCAGAGACCGTAGAGTGGCCGCCGGAGGCTCCACTGGGTGCCAGGAGGAAAAGTCCCAGTGAAGCTAGGTGGGCGGCGTAGCCAGATCTCCTCGTGCAGGCTGCCCTGCAAGAAAGTAGTGCTGAAGTCATGAGAGTGAAGCTCGTAGTCACGGGGAGCGGCTATGTGCAGCAGTACCCGAAGAGTGGTCATCTTTGGGGTGGGAGAGAAGGTCTGAAAGTAGTCTACTCCTTGCCGCTGACTGAAGCCACGAGCCACGTAACGCGCCTTGAAGAGAGGCGAAGAACCCAATGGCCGCTTCACCCTGAAAATCCACATGCCACTGACGATGTTCGCCCCAGGCGGGGGAACCTCGTCAACGTAGGTGCCTCCGGACTTCCAGGAAGCCATCTGTGCGTCCATGGCTGCCTGCCACTGAGAGGAGTATGGACCCTCTATCGCCTCCGCGTAAGAGCGCGAAGTCGGGATGTCTGGTGCATCCGGCTCTCCCTCAGGGGCAAGTAGCATGGGAGCACACTCACCCCCGATGGACGGAGGACAGACAGACGCAGACTCAGTAAGCAGACTACTAGCGTAGTCTAGACGACAGCGAGCAGCGAAGTCGACAAGCTCAGCAACTAGGACAGACGCCGTAGTGGACTCAAAGGAAGGGTCAGTAACAACAGTAGCAAGGAGACGCGTTACAGTAGGACTGGCTTTACGAAGGGAGCCTGACTCCGGGTAAGCAAGAGCAGGAAGAGAGGACTTAGGCGGAGAAGGCAAAGGGGCACGCACATGAGCAGCGGACGGACGCAGAGACATCCTGTGCGTGCAGGGGACGGGGGGAGGACGCTGAACCGAACCACGACCACCAGTGCAAGCAGCACGGACAGGCGCCGTAGGACGAGACGCAGGCTCACAACGCTCAAGAAGACCTCTAGTAGGACTATTGTAGGGAGAAGGAGCAGGCAGAGGAGAGGTAGGCTGTAACTATGACTCAGACCGGACAAGCGGTGGACACTCTAAGGGAGGAGCCGGACTAGCAGAGGGCGGAAGACCAAGAACCTGCTCAAGGAGCGGAACGAAGTACGGCCGCGGCAGTGCAGCACCCCCGGAACCAGCAGGAACAGCACCAGCACCACGAGCGGCAGCACCAGTTCCAGCAGCACCAACGCGAGCACCCTCAGAAGGACCAGCACCAGAAGGGACAGCACCAGCGCCAGCAGCACCCTCAGCTCCAGCAGCGCCAACTCCAGCACCCTCAGAGGAACCAGCACGAGAAGCATCCTCAGCGCCAACATCCCCAGCAGCTCCAGCTCCAGCCGGACCACCAGAAGACGCAGCAGGTCCACCAGCTCCAGCACTAGACGCACCCGCAGGCCCAGCAGCTCCAGTACTCCCAGTTCGAGCACCTCCGGGACCCGTGGCACCAGCACCCTCAGCAGCAGTAGAACCTCCAGTGCCCGCAGTACCTCCAGCTCCAGCAGCACGCCTCCAGCGCCGGACAAACCACTCACGCAGCTCCTGTGGAGAGAGTAGCTCCCGCCGGGACGAAGCACCCGAAGAACCTCCAGGCCCAGCACCGCCAGACGCCACACAAGCAGGTCCAGTACCCTCAGACTCCGCACCCCCAGAATCAGCACCCCTAGGCTCAGAAACCCCAGGCGTAGCACCCCCAGGCTCAGCACCCCCAGGCGCAGCACCCCCAGAGTCAGCACCCCCAGGATCAGCACCCCCAGAGTCAGCAACCCCAGGCTCCGCACCCCCAGACCCAACACCCGTAGGCTCAGCACCCATAGCAACACCAAAGTCAACAGCTACCTCGTCAGGGTCGGCTGCGTCTACTTGAGACACACCTGAGGGGGCAGGACCCTGAGGGGGGAGGGGGTCTACCGGAGGGGGACCTGGCGTAAGGAAGAGCGGCGGCGGGGGGAGGGACGCAGTGCGGTAGGGGAAGAGATGGTAGTAGGGAACCGACTCGTCAAACGTGACGTCTTGGGAGGACAGAACACTGCGAGAGATGGGGTGGTAGAACTGCCAGCCCAGCGCATCAGGGGGGAAGCCAAGGAAGACACAGGGAACGGCACAAGGGGACAGCTTGTCCGCAAACAAGTTGCGGCCAAACGCCCGAGATCCCCAGACACGGAACGCAGACGCATCGCCAACCTTCCCCGTCCACAGCAAGGCAGGGGAGGTCTCCGACATGGAGACCCGGTGCTGAGGGTTGATCTGATGCGCCACGTACCGAACCGCAAACGGCCACAGAAAATGGGGGGCAGCCGCATGGACCATGGACGTACGAGCGACGTCCATGACCATGCCAATGCGGCGCTCAGCAATCCCATTTTGCTTTGGAGAGTCCGGAAGCGTGAAGGTCTGGCGGATGCCTCGTGCACGACAGAAGGCTCTCAGAAGGCCAGAGGAGAACTCTTCGCCTCTGTCAGAGTTCACACGTAGAACAGGAAAGTCCGAGCCGAAACTCTCTCTGAGCTGGAGACGAGCTGCGCGGATCCAGCCAATCAACACCTCAGTGACCTCACCCTTGCTGCGCAAGGGGAAGACTACGGTGTAACGCGAGTAGTCGTCAACCACCAGTAGGAAGTAACGCTTGTGACCCTGTCCACGGACGCGGGCTGGGCCCCACACGTCCATGTGAAGCGTCTGCAGCGGAGCCTCTGTCGGAGGAAACTCGGAGGAGTGAGGAGCAGCGCAATGCCACCCCTCGACGCAGGGAATGCAGGTGGGGGCAGGCCCCGGAGGAAGGGGAGGGAGGGACCGGGGGAGACCAGAGACAAGGACACGGGAGGCCATGCCTCGAAGGCGAGGTAGGGAGGGGTGACCAAGGCGGTGGTGCCAGAGGAGAATCTGGTGAGACAGGAGGCAACACGAGCAGGGGGCAGACTCAGGACCAGCCTGGACGCCGCAGCAAACACCTCACCCGACGCGGCTACCTGAGCAGACTCAGCGACTGGAGGAGACTCAGTAGTCAGTGTGTACAGGCTCGACTCTGGTTGACGGGTAAACGTGGCCAAGTGACGGCCCGTCCGAGCACAGGTTCAGTGAGTCACTCGCCGACTCGCAGGAGTGAACTAGTGAACCCCATCATCCTGGAGGTCAGCACCACTCACCAAGTTTGTAGAAAACTAGGGGAGGTAAAGACTTGACAGGGTGCCAGAAGGGGCCGCCGGACACGGTAGGACAGTGGAGAAGTGGGCAAGGACAGAACCCCCAGAGGGGTCTGCCAGGGAGACTGCCACTGGCCGGTGAAGCGGCGTGAGCATGGTGCGGTCTGGAAAGAAGGAGCGGGAAGCACCCGAGTCAAGGGTGAAGGTGTGGGTGGCCGGAGCCGACGCGGTATCTGGGAGCGCAGACTCACTAGTACCTGGGGCAGCAGACTCACTGGCACCTAGAGCAGCAGCCTCACCAGCACCTAGAGCAGCAGCCTCAATGCCTGTGTAAGGCAGAAAACACCGGTAACAGTCACCCTCATCACTAATAGTCACAGTATACATGGCAGCAAGAATAGCCGAGGGATCTCAGTAGCGTCGGGGAACTGATGACGCCACGCAACCGTCGGGCGGCCGAAGCAGCGCTGGGTGGAGTGCGGACCCCCACACTGCTCAGCCGCGCAGTCGCCGGTGCGTAGAACGTAGGTACAGGGGCCAGCACCCCCACCCCGCTGACGAGCAGCGTATCACTCACGAAGCTGCTTGGGGGAAGGGGTCTCACGAGTGCGCTGCTGCTGCTGCTGCTAGCGCTGACCACCATCAGAGCCGACCCTCTGCGTAGAGCCGCCCCGACCAGCTCCACCTTCGCCGCCGCTACCTCCACCACCGCCTCCACCTCCGCCACCTCCGCCCGCACCGCCACCGCCGCCGCCTCCTCCGCCTCCACTGCCGCCACTAGCGCCCCCACCCCCGCCACCACTCCCACCGCCACCCCCACCCCTTGCGCCACCTCCACCGCCGCCTCCACCGCCCCCGCCAGCTCCTCTAGCGCCCTTGCCCCCCTTGCCCTTGCCTGGGCGGCGTCTCCCGCTAGGGGCAGACGCCGCGCCGACCGACTCAAGACCAACGAGGTCGGCCGCAATAGCAGAGGCAATAGAGGGCAAGAGGGGGGAGGGGGAGCACCCCTCAAAGACAGGGGTACGAGGGTCACTACAAGAAGCTCCTTCAGCGACTATACTCTTCTCTGTTGCTAGGAGGCGCTCCTCGAGGAGGTCAACGGTGAGCGTGGTGGGGCAAACAGAGAGGAAGTGGTCCCTGACCGAGCGAAGGGTGTCAGGGAGCCGGGTGACTATGTAGTAGAGGGTGATGTATATAGGGGGGGGGGGGGGTTCTTGGCGCATAACTCGGCAGGTCGGCGGCTCGGCGGCTCGGCGGCGCAGCGGCTGGGCAGCGAAGGCGGCACGGCGGATCCGTGAAGGGCGGCGTCGCTGCTGCGAAGGAGCGGCGACGGGGCCGCTGAAGGGCGGCGACGAGGCCGCCGAAAGGGGGGCGGCGACGAGGCCAAGTAGGGGTGGCGACGGGGCCGTGGAAAGGGGGGGGCGACGGGGCCGCTGAAGGGTGGCAACGGGGCCGCTGATAGGTCACGAAGGGGAGCCACACTTGGCGCGACTCGGGCAGGGGCTAAGCGCGCTCCGGGCAGGAAAAAAAAAGTTGATATTCGGTGGGCCCTAGGAACAGTTCCCACGAGGGAACCTGCTCTATACCATGTGGAGATTAGAACGAGAATGAATGACTAAGGAACGAAAGCGATACAAATATGAAACCCTAGAATTGTGTACCCCTTAGTGTCTAACCCGCTACAGCCTACAAAGGCTAGATCATATAAGTTTGACATACGTCATTGTGCATGGCTGTTGGATATTTTCATCTCTGTGTTTTTCTCCAAGTTTAAATGCTTGATCATGCAGGAGAAATCCAGAGCTTTCCAACGATACCAAGATCACCTTATTCCGACCAAGATCGCCCAAGTTACAAGATTTCCAAGACTTGGATTTCTTATAACCTTTTGGGGTTATATCTAATTTGGGTGATTACTTGGGACATGAATACAAAGGGATCTTTGGTTGGGTGGTTAGGAAGGCAACTTTGACTTTTGGATTGGGGTGGCTAGAAGTTTCTAGCATGGGTTGCAAATGTTGCAACACCTAGGCAAAATCTAACTAGATTGGATTTTGCATGTGACACCTCAAGGAACTCATGATGAGGGTTGCATCCTTGCTGCTAGGAAGGTTCCTACCATCCTTCCCTAGCTTTTGGAGAACCCCTTCCCTCTCATGGCTCTCTTGGAGTCCCCAACTCCAACTTTCTATGCCCTAATGTTTGTACTTCCTCCACCAATCTAGTCATGCGGCTGCTGGACGTTTTTACTTGGTTCTCACACTCTAGATCATCTTAACAACTGATTCAACTTTGAGATGGTAGATAAGCCTAAGCCGCAACGTCCTACCGAGCGGATTTGCGTTTAATTGAGTATTGAGTTTGTCGTAAGTTCTCAAAGTGTCGGATCCTGAACAACAAGTGGTATCAGAGCGGGTTGTCAACTTTGAGACAACGAATCGTCGTGATTTCCAACCAATGTCAACAAGTGAGACCATTTTCTAGTAGCTCTGCTTGCGACCTTTCGATTGGTGGTCGAAACGCGTTCTAGTTCGAAGTATCCAGTCCGCGACGGCGGTTTGCGTAGAATCGAAATTTCTGGCAGAATTCTCTCCAAACGATTTCTCAAGTTTCCATCGTTCATAAGGCCTCAATATGGTTGGCACGAACTCCGGAGGTGCTAGTGGCAAGATGGATAGAAGTAGAGAGGTAGGACAGCAAGGGGGAGTTGCTGGTGGAGGAGTGGGGACTGACCAACCAGCCAACCCTACGCTACCCTCAACTTCTACACCATCTCCTACAACCGTGGATCCTGTGAAGGCGTTCTCTATTGAGAAGTTCATAGGGGAGGACTACAAGCACTGGAGCTTCCGCATGAGGCTGATGTACACCCAATACAAGCTATTGGATTTGGTGGAGGGGAAGGAGAAGATGCCGGAGCCTGCGGAGTTGAAAGAAGCGTGGATGAAGCGATCGTTTGACGCGTACATGCTCATGGTGCAAGCGGTTGGCGGGCGACAACTTGACCACATCAAGGACCTCTTGGGTGATCCAGAGTGTGGCCCCAAGGCTTGGAGGAAGCTTCTGGATGTGCACTCACCGACACATGCTACCGGCATCGTGCTACTCGCGTGGCGGCTGCGCGACATCAAGTTCGTTGATGGAGAGCCGATGCAACCGGTGTTGAATGAGATGCGGGACATCTTTACGAAGCTCCAAGGCGGCGGTGTGGTGTACCCGGAGCTCGTGCAATGCGTGGAGCTCGTGATACGGCTGCCGGAGTCGTGGTCTGCCCTAGCGATCAACCTCAACTCCCAACAACCCCAATGGAGCGTAGATTACATTCGCGCGTGCATCCTAGAGGGGGACTTGCGGCGGCGGAGTGTGGAGCGCTCGGAGGAGGGGGCTGGCTATGGAGTTGGAGGTGGAAAGAGTGGCTTCAAAAAGAAGTGGAAGGGCAAGAACAAGGACAACCCTAAGGAGGATGGCGGCGGGGGTCAAGGGGAGGTGTGCTTCTACTGCAAGAAGCGCGGACATCGTTGGCGGAAGTGCTACCAACGACCCAAGGATTGGACCCCGCCTTCATCAAGCAACCAGCGTGGTGGCGCGAGGAGTGGGGGAGTCATGGGAGCTAGTGGAGAGGAGAAGGAGGAGGAGAAAGGTGTCAAATCTGAGGAGCGGAAGGCCGGGTTCTTCTTCCTCGTGAACGAAGGTTCTTCTTCTTCTCTTCACCCATTGGGTGATTAACTCGGGAAGCTCCTGGCACATGACTCCTTGTGCGGACCTACTCGATGAGATTCAGCCCGCACCTATCACTACGGTCACATCCGCGACGGGTGCCAAGGCCAAGGTCATGGGCATGGGATGCGCCAAGTTCATGGGAGCGGATGGAGAGCTCGTGGGGCTGAAGAATGTGCTGTGGGCTGTGGGTGCCGGACTTGTGCGCGAACCTGATTTCTACTGGCTGGTTGGGAGATGCGGGTGTGAACACCGAGATGATTGGCTCGGAGCGCTATCTTGCTTACAACAATGAGCACCTCATTTGGGACTTGCAGTGGAAGGGAGATGTCCACAAGCGGATGTGGCAGATCCCGGTCCTCCCTTGGCGGAAATCGGGCAAGACGGCAGCGGCGGCATCTATGGAGGAGAGTGTCACCGAGGAGGAGCAGCAAGGTGTGCAATGAGAGGAGCTGATTGGAGGAAGCGCGGCGGTGAAGGCGTCGGCTACCTCAGGCCAAACGGATTGGGAGACTTGGCATCGGCAACTCGCACACGTGGCTGTTTCAACACTGAAGGTGATGCACATGGAGAAGTGCGTGCATGGGCTGCAACAGCAAGGAGATGGCACTCACTATGGCAGCTGCGAGGCATGCATGCAAAACAAGTTTGCGCGGTTCCCGTTCCCACGAACGGAGGGATCAGCGAAGGCACCATTGGAGGTGGTGCACATGGACCTGGTGGGTCCTATGAGCAGTGAGGGGACTGGGGGAGTGCTGTACTTCCTTACCGTGGTGGACAAATGGAGCCGTTTCACGTGGGCGCGTCCTTTGTCCAAGAAGAGCGATGCTGCAGCGGCGATCAAAGAGGATTGGTTGCCGATGGTGGAGCGGCAAGCGATGCGGCTGGTGAAGGTGCTGAGGAGCGACCGTGCTGGAGAGTTCCTTGGAGCGGAATTCACCAAGTTTCTCAAGAGGAACGGCATCCGACACCAACTGACCTGCCCTGGAACACCGCATCAGAACGGCATTGCTGAGCGTGCCAACCGGACCATTCGCGAGGCGGCTAAGACCTTGTTGGGGGCTGCTGGGATGCCTTACAAGTTCTGGCCTGAAGCTGTTTGCTATGTCATCACGGTCAAGAACAGGGTCTTGACTCATGTTGGCGACAAGCATTGGGTGCCGTACGAGCATTGGCTTGGGAAGAAGCCATCCATTGACATGCTGCGGGTGTGGGGCTGCATGGGGCTTGTGATGGTGCCTAAGGAGCAGAGGCACAAGCTGGAAGTTGCTGCTGTGTGGGCTGTCCATCTTGGGATGGCTCTTGACTCAAAGGGGTGGCTGATGTGGGACCCCAAGAGCAAGAGGACGCTGATCAGTCGTGACGTCAAGTTTGTGGAGGACGTCATATACAAGGATTGGAAGCAGCAGTAGCAGGTGCAGATTGGCTTGTGTTTGCAGGAGATTGAGCGGTCTGCAGTGGAGGAGGTTCAGCTGCACCTTGAGGATCTCCCTGGGTCAGAGCTGACCAGTGACCACAGTGGCGGTGGTGAGCAGCAAGTTTCTGGTCCTGCTGGAGAGGAGGGGTTGGAGGATGAGTCGGCACGTGTGGACTCACCATCTCAGCCCGAGCCTGCTGCAAACACCAAGGTCACCAAGAGGAGTGTGCAGAGAGGAGCTTCACCACATGGGCAGCAGACTGTAACCCGCGAGAAGAGAGTGGCAGCAGCACCCTCAAGGCTGAAGTATAGTCGTTTGGGAGGACCCAAGCAAGGTGCCATGGCGGTTCAGGTGGATGAGGGAGAGGATGAGGAGACGGCGTTCTGTTTCTTCACACCCTTGCCTGGAGAACCAACCACAGTGGAGGAGGCCCTGAGTGGACCCCAGAAGGAGGAGTGGAAGGCTGCCATGGATGCGGAGTTCAACAGTCTCATTGAAAATGGGACTTGGGAGCTTGTTGAGTTACCCGAGGGGCGACGGCCGATCAGCAGCAAGTGGGTCTTCAAGGTGAAGAGTGGTGCTGATGGTGCGTTGGAGTGGTTCAAGAGCCGCTTGGTCGCCAAGGGGTTTCAGCAGAAGGAGAAGGTCGACTTCGGGGAGATCTTCACTCCCGTTGCTAAGCCAGTGACACTGAGGACTTTGATGGCTGGCGCAGCTGTGAAGGGATGGCACGTGAAGCAGATGGATATCACCACTGCGTTCCTCAATGAATTACTGCTGGAGGATATCTACATGGCGCAGCCCGTCGGCTATGAGGATGGGACCAGCCGGGTGTGCAAGCTTAAGAAGGCCATCTATGGCCTTAAGCAAGCGCCCAGGTGTTGGTACGAGAAGCTGGAGGAGGTGCTGCTGGGTGGAGGCTTCAAGACATCCCAGGCGGATCACAGTTTGTTTCTGCTTGGAGAGGGGGAGCAGCTGCTCTTGCTGCTGGTGTATGTCGATGACATACTGCTGTTCTCACCTTCTATGGAGCAGATTGAGAGGACACAGAAGCTGCTGATGGACAACTTCAAGTGCAAGATGCTAGGGGATGTCCACTACTACTTGGGGCTGCAGATTGAGAGGGATGTTGAGAGGAGGTGGCTGAAGGTGCATCAGTCACACTACATCTCTGGTGTCATGGAGCGGTATGGTGTGGCTGGGGGTCGCACTGTGATGACATGGTTCCCTGCAGGCTTCAAACTGAAGAAGGCAGCTGAGGAGGATGATGTGCTTGAGGATGAGCAGCAGAACGAGTACTAGTCACTCATTGGGAATGTGATGTATGCAGCTGTGCATACGCGACCTGATGCTTCATTCGGAGTGGGGCAGCTGGCCAGAGTTGTGCAGCGGCCCACTGAGGAGCAGTTAGAGGTGGCAAAGCGCTTGGTGCGCTACCTCGGATCAACGGCATCTGCTGGTGTTCAGTTTTCAGCTGGCGGCCAGCTGAAACAGATTGGAGCAGATGGGGTCACGCCTGGAACCTTGAAGCTGTCGTGCTTCACCGACACCACATGGGCCTCAGAGGATGAGGATCAGTCATCGGTTGGCGGCTTTGTGTGCATGGTCGGAGGTGGACCAGTGAGCTGGAGGTCCAAGAAGAAGAGTGAGATTGCTCAGTCTTCTGGAGAGGCAGAGTACATGGCGATGTACCATGCCATCAAGGAGATCGTGCTCCTGAGGAAGCTGTTGGAGAACATGGGAGCTGAACAGGAGGGACCTACACCACTTTTCTCCGACAGCGAGGCTGCT